CCCCCCGCCCCCCTTTCCTACTTCAGAAATAGATTTCACTAAACCTGGCTGCTGTAAACTCATTATATGATTCTATCATTTATTCTGTCCATTAGAATAACCAGTGTTAGTGCTTTTCCCCCTACTTGAGTCTGTCAAGTGCTGTTATTTATGCTCAATGGTATTAATATCTCTGGTTGTATTATGGTTGTGCACTCAAAATCTCTAATACAATCTAAGCTTGGCAATAGTGACTGCATCAGCTATCAATAATCAAAAAGTCTGATGCAAGTTGTAGGTAATAATAAGAGTCAATATTACATAAATATAATTAACATCTTCTGCTTGCTATAAAGAATAATCAGTAGTACTGATGGCTTTAAAAAGATCCTCCTCTTCAGAATCAGAGAGCGTGCCCATATTATGAACAAGAGAATTAAAGATTTGACAGTATGATTTTGACTGTTTCTTTTTTTTGGTTACCCCTGGCAATGACTCTGCTGTAACCTGGCTACATAATGTTATCTGCTGTCTTTAGGTGGAAGAGGGCTTAAAAGTTGATTTTTTTCTTTCCCTGCTCGATTTCAGTGTGTTAATTTCACTAACAAAAGTATTTTCCATTTCTCTGTAACAACAAAACCGCTTAGGTAATTTGTGACCATAGAATTAGAGCAATACAGCTAAACTAATATATATGCAATGGTTTCATTATGCATAAGAGCAGGCACTCTTTACTTTGCAGCCCAAAACACACAAAGCACCCATTAGAATGAAGAGGCCTGTGATGTCTCTTCATGTGCAGAGTGTAAAGGTACATGAATGTCCTTGCTTGTTGGCATTTAATTTACCAGTTGCCTCTGTAGTGGAGCCTTGGCAGATTCAGCTTGAATCTGAAAGACAGGCTGTCATACTGAGAGTCTGCTGCCTACTGCTGAAATTGAGAGGCTTGGCAGATATGCAAACAGTAACTGGGTTTGAGTTGTTTTGATTACAAGTTAAACAGAAAGTCATTGGCAGGGCCAATATAAATCTGCTGAGGTTTTTTGGCAAAATCTGTGGAGGTATTTCTATAGATTCCGCAGAATTCTGTAGCACCTTGATTTCACATCAAAGAATGTCCACCTCTGAACCCGTTCTGCGGATAAATGTGTCAGAAACGTGAGTGAACACGTTTAAGTCGCTGAGAGCTTCCAGATTCAGAAATATAAAGCACATTAACGACATGCTGTACCACACCACCTTTGTACAGCTGATAAATTGTGAAACCAAATGTTTCACTAAAGTTCAGGTGGATTTTTGGAGAAGTAAATTAAGGTAAGTTATAAACAGCTGGAACAGGAAGGCAAAATAAATTTTAATGAAAATTTCCGGTGAGCAAATGAGAAAAAAATGATTGGACCATGTCCTGAAATCAGCTTTTTGAAAATTTGAAATCAGAAAATTTAAAGTCGTTGAAATGCTGAGATATTTCACCAATATATTTTTTATCACATTAATCAAGCTTTTCTGAAGCTGCTTCCTGCATGGCATGCAGTGCTTTAACAGTGGTTCGATTTGGTACAATTCAGTCTGGAACTGGCTTTTTTCTCCCCTTTTTCAATAACTTTGCCTGAAACACCATATTTGACTAAATATCCAGACCTGATAAAATACAAATGCTCATCCCAGATTTATTTCTTTACAGAGTTTGTCTCCCTGCCTAATCTGCAATGCTGAGTTGATAAAAGTAACACAAACTGACATTGTAAAAGCAAAAAAAAGGAGTGTGTAAACTTTAATTACATGCACTTTTATAGTGCAACCTCTGCTCAGTTCTAACTTAGTGCTTTGAACACTAACACATCCTTTAATAAAATTTCCCTGCAATTTTAAGGCAAAACCACATTACTTTTGGAGGGAGGGAAAAGAGTACATATAATTGTCGCTCCTATTGTTTCTGTCTGACTGGCTGTAGACAGGTTTCTGTAAGGCTGGCTAGCAACAATACATTGATTTACAGAGGCAAGAATATCTTCACAATTCAAAGGGTTAAGACACCTTTATTTGAAAACTGAGAATCTGCAAAATGTGGTAAAGTTCTTGGAAAGGACCCAAATGTATGGAGCCTTTTTCTCATCTTTTTTTTTTTTTTTTTTTTTTTTTTTCCATTCTCTACTTGTATCAGCTACTTTGCCTGTTACAGCTTTCTAGGCAGGAAAAAAATGCTACCTTTGAATTTGCACAAATTATTACATACCTCATGCTAAATTTTACAATAACCTAATTTGAGCAAATTGATTAGAATATGAACATTGCTAACTAAATGCTCTTTATTTTCATTTCTGACAAACTGAAAAAGCACATTATTTTCCTGTGAGAAGTAAATGTTTGTTTTCTTTGGAAATTACTCCACTGATATTCTCTTTCTCATACTGAATGTCCCTTTTCCTTGAGCAAACAGAATGAGAGTTTATATGAATGGATCATATTTCACTCTGGTTAATGGATAACAATAGCATTTTAGGAATTTCATTTTCAGATTCAGGTTGAAAATATATACTGACTTTTTGCCTTTTTTTTTTTTTGTTGCTTTTTACCGTTCCATATACTTCTCTTCAAAAAAAGTGAATTTAGCAAGCTTTAAGCAGCATACTCACCAAATACTGCAACCCGATGCAAATTTTTAGAGAATGCTTACAAATGTCAAATCCCTCTGAAAGTGATATACTTTATTACTGTTCTTTCTTATAATACAAACATTTCAGTGCAGCTCGGAGCTTATTTTTCAAAATATACAGGATTTTGATATATGGACAACAGGAGAATATGTATTTTAGATATAATGCCATAAGTGCTCAAAAGTTATTTCTGAGCTGATTTAACATGGAAAATCTCCAGGTAGATTAATTTTATAGGCTGCTTTTATGGATGTAACATTTCAAGATGAGAAAGCCGTGCTTCTGAAATTTAGTTTCGGCAGATTTCATTGGCACCTCCATCTCCATCTTTTATTACCTTAAAGTTGAAATTTAATCTCTCTCCTTTTTTTTTTTTTTTTCTTTTTTTTTTCCCTTTTTTTTTATCCCCCCGATTTTTACTTAATTCCTTACTGAAATCGCTGGGCCTGTATTTTTGCTCACAGTTTCTGTTGTGTCCATTGCTGTCTAACTACTTACATTCTGAAGGAAGAAACAAAATAATTAAAAAAGAGGCACTTAAATAGCTATGCTTAGAAATTACAAGACCTGTGATGTAGAAGATTTTTACTGCGATAGGCAGCTATAGAAGGAGGTTAAGCAAATGTACCCCAAAGATGTACCCCAAAAATGTACCCCAAAACCCTCTTTCCAAATGGCTGAGTTAATTACAGTGGCAAGAGCAAGTTGCTCCAAACCCAGCTGCAGCATTGTGGTAAAGGCAGAGCTTGAAACTGCAGCCCTTGCACACAAAAAACTTCTGAAACGTGACTTTTTAAAGAAACACCTATTTGTAACATTGCCAACAGGGTCTGTGTTGCAATGAAAGGAGAATGTGGCTTATACACAAGCATGTTTAGTAATGTTTCTGCATGACTCTTAACATGGATTCAATACACACTTCATATATGTGTACAGAAAAAACCTGTGAACAATGGTGCACATCACTGTAACGTGTATGTTTTCCTGTTTCTGAAACATCACAACTGCATTTGGAAAGTGACTCTCATGCATGTGTTAAGGATGCTTTATAAACCTGAGTACCTCAGCCACTTGGTTGGTTGTTGTTACTATTATTTGTTTCTTTGACTGTTCTTTGTTTCCTTTCTGGCCTGATGGCCTGCAAAAATTGCTAAAAAAGGAGGAATGTATTTTTTAGACTTCAGGATTGCAAGTTAAGGGAAAGAAAAAGAAGCATTTAAATCAGAAAATGTGTGTGTTGTGTCTTTGAGTGTGTGTTTGTGTGTGTGTATGCATGTGCATGTTCGGAAATTCACAAACTGACACTTTCAGGCTATGATCTCAGTTTTTATGACTGAATTGCATACCTTAAAAATTGGTCTAGCTAATATAAATGCTAAGAAAATCTCAAAAATTGTGGTGTCTACTGTAATAAAATTCTCTGTGAGAGAATGACAGAGATACAAAACACTAAACAATGATGATTTCCTCACTACCAATGCAATTGCATAAATTAGGTGTGCATTAAGTTCCCAATGATTTATAGCAGTTGAAACTTACAAAAAATGATTACATTTGATGTTTCTTTATAAAATACAAAAAAGCTGATGCTTAGACTCAGAGTGGTTAGAAGAAGCAGGAGCTAAATCTAGATTATAGAATCTGTTTTATAGAAATTTTTGTATACCTTTCATATATATTTTTCTGCAAATTTTATTTAAAGATTATTTCATTAGTCAAACTTGCATATACTATTTGTTAGTTTTGAAAAAACCTCTATTTTTTCTCCTCTTGCCCTCCTCACTGCTAACCTATTAGTGGAAGTGGCATTTTATTGATTAGACATTTACTAACAATATTATTTTATATTTTCTCAAATGTTTAACTGTTTGCATTGTAGGTGGTGTAAAGGTCCCTAAGAATGGTACAACTGAAATGGGAGGATGAAGAAATGTATTGGCTATGACAAGAAGAAGTAATTGCTTTTCCTCAAAGGATCAGATGTGGTATAGTTGTTTGAAAAACAATCTAAACAACATTTTGTTCACCATTGATTTTAAAAGCATTAAAATTAGTTTTTATGCAGCTATACTCATTAAGCTTTTATGTATACTGTGTAGGGTGAATAGTTAAGAAGCAATAAAGCATTCTGCAGTAAAATATACTTTGCCAGTTGTCAGAAGAAATAAAATACATAGATTGGGAATGTTTGTTTCCTGTGGAATATTGCGATATTTGCCGTGTTAATTACAATCCAAATAAAGCCATTTTATTTGTGTATTTTAAACAGCCCTGTAGCTGTAGATGGCTAATACAACTGTTATTGAAAGTGTTGTGTTTGGGGGTAGTGTGTTCATACTGATGAGAAACAATCATCAGCTACATATATCCCAACAATTCTTGCATTCTAAAAATAAATCTTCTCTTAGAATTGGTGTTCCAAAGTCTAATTGTAAATTTTAGCCTCAAAAACCAAATGAAAGTTCCATGCTGTGCAATTTTCTTCTCTTTAGTTCCTCATGTCAGTATCTGCATTCATACACAAACTAGTTCCCCTAATTTCACTGAAGTAGTTAACAATTTATTAGAAAAGGAAATAGTCTGGAAAACAGCAACAGTCTAGTGCCCAAGGAAAGGAAACCTATTTGGTTGTTACTTGGAAGAGAATAACCATTTATTTTGTTTCTCAAAAACAAGAGAGGAGTATGTGTACAGTACAACAACATGCCATCAGAGAGAATAATGCATATAAAAATGAATTCCTGTTATTGTGTTCAGGTGTGTTTGTGAATAAAAAATGGAATTTTGAAAAGTCAATTAAAATGCATTTAAATTCTTTAACACCAGAATTCTTTAATGTGAAAAATTTTTCTAGACAGTTTGTCAGTACCGCTGTAAGCACTGTGCTGTGATCAGAACTGGTTTCCCCCACCTATGACTGCTAGATGGCTCAGAAATGCATTACACCTTCCTGTTTCAAATGAGGAGACCACTCTTGAAAACATGGAAGTACTTATAAAGTAAATAACCTTTAATTAAATATCATTGTCTAGCATTAATCTTTATAGCTCTGTTCCCTATGGAAATAAAAGTGGATATTCAATTTGTTTTGATTATGCATGAATTTTAACAGAAACGTTGTTTCTATATTGCTGTGTTCTTCAAGAAAGCAGCATATTTGTGTCGGCATAAGCCATTAAGAAGACAGTTCCTCATCAATGTGAAATAAGAGTGACTCATTTCTGTTGTATATAAATAGATTGACATTTAGAAAGATTAATTATTATTTTTAAGAATAAACATAAATTCATATGTGGCTGGTGTAACCTTCCCGCTCAGTCTGAAATCCCAGTTATTTTCCGAGTTAACTGTGAAGTGAAATACAAAGTATTTCTATTGTTAAACAGGTATTGTTTGTGGTACCTGATGATTTCAGGGATGTCTAGTTGCACAAATCAAGATACACTTTTCTCCTTAACTAGGATTTGCGTAGTGGTTCTTTATGTAGATGCACAAGCCAGACCAGGGACAGATACTTAAACCCTGCTTCTGTAATATCTTGAAAACAAACTCCATTCAGAAGGGTATCTTCAGCCTCATACAGTTTTATTCATCTTTTCCATCTTCACTTAGGATAATTTTGTGACAGCCAGGTCAGGCAAGTCCACTAAATTCTATCTCAGTGCTGGGTCACAGTGCCAGGGTACATGCCATGTCATCAGACTCTTGCAGCACCCACTAACGGGTCTTCTGCTTTTGGCAAACAGAAGTTAATCTGTTCTTGATGAAAATACCCCCTTTAGTGTTGAACTAATGCTGTCTCCTGTGCTAACCATGGATGAGGGATAAACAAAGAGGAAAAGGGTGGTCTTTCCAACTCTTCAGTACTGGAGTAGAGTTTTTGCTCTGGCCTCTAACAGTGAAGTGAGGAAGGCAAGTTTCATGATGAATAAGGTGGAAGACCATAATCTCTGTAATAATGCTCTGCCTGACATGGTCTGAGGATGCTTGTCCTCAGTGCAGTAAACACTGGATGTTTTTGTAGCTGTGCAGCAAGACACACTTTGCCACTCCACTGTGCCTATGCATTTGCAGGAGATGTCAGAGAGTGTTTAAATAATGTGTAATGGCGTGTTGCTCTTTCATCATTTAGGGAAGTGGCTCTCCCCTGTGACAGTCATTATATGCTCAGTGCTGAACCTTGGAAAACACTTTTAATCCTGCCTGTTGTGCCCACACAGCTAGGCAAATGCATACATCCAGCACAGAAGCATTATCCCAATGTATAACATGATGTTTAGTGATGAAGCCTGAACAAACTGAACCAATGCAGACCCTGGGAAACATCCACTGCAGAGGCAGAGCTGTGGGCAGATCCATCAGGGTAGAAAATAGCCCCAGGAGCAGAATTCTGTGCACCAGGCAGAGATCCCAGCAATTCTTCTCACAGCCTGGCTTTCTACTCTGCAAACAAGGTGAAGAGATAGCAATAAACAAGAGAAGTGAAACAACACATAAAAGGAAGGATAGCAGCAGAATGTGTGATTTTGAGAAGAAAACAGAGAAGCAGCATTCCTCTCATTCTTGCACAAATAACCTCCATTCTGGTTGTACAAAACTAGTAGGGGCTGCAAAGAGAGAATGCTTTTGGGTGGCTGTCCTGCCATCCTGCTGTGTGTAATCAGGGTCCCAGAATTCCTGTACAGTGAACAGAAAGATGCATGTTTTTAATGCTGCTGTTTTGAATTATAATTCAGAAGCTCTTCTGGCTACACAGGAATCCTTGACACTGACAGAAGAGAGACAACACTGGGTCTTACTGCGTAGGCATTCAACAATTGCAATCTTCTGAGAGTCCCTCCCTTCCTTTCCCTTCATGGGAGGTAGAAAGCTGGTGCTGGGGATGTTGGCTGTGCAGTGACTAGGCTGGGAGTGCCACAGCCAAAGGGCACAAGTGTGCTCTCCCACAAGTGTGGGAATAACTGCAACAATTTTTTTTAGAAACAAGGTAGACCAAATTAAAAATTTTATCGGCATATCTCAGGCTATAGACCTTCTCTAGATTAACTCTTGCTTCAAATCTAACAGCTGTCATTGGATAAGTATCACCTTTTTCAACTATCCAGTAACACCTCTGATGGTTGCTGTGGGGGGATAATCCACCCTAAACCTCACATAGAGGTTTCAATGCTGTTAACACTGAACATCTGGAATACAAGCTTAGTCTTTACCTGTTGGTTTTTTGCAATTCTGTAAAAAAATTTTTTTTTTTTCCTTCTGGATGAAGGTTCCCCCTAGTAATATATCCATATATATATATATATATATATTTATATGTCTAGAGATGTGCTTAAACACTAATCAAGTTATCCTTTGCGTTATTCTAAACTAAATAGAGTTGTTTATGTCTTTCATTCTATGTCCTCCTCCAATTCCATCTCTGAAGTCTTTCCCACTCCAAAGTTTTTCCAACCCTTCTAGGACTGGTCCCACTGCTATTAAAAACACATGTAACTTTTCTACTTCTACTCTGTATTCCCCTGTTTATTCATCTAAGGACCAAGCTAGTCCTTTTAGCTACAATGTCACACATTAAGCTCCTGAGAAGGAGATGAAGGGGATTAATGGATCTAGAAGTCAATTTTTAAAAGTTTACACCAGAGTGAATGCTATTATAAAAGCCTTTAATGAGAATGAACCTGTGCAAATATCACTGACTGCACCTCTTCAGCATTTGTTTTACAGTAGAAATGGTTGCACATTAAATGTCTTTTGGCAAGGGAGTTAAGGATTCTATTGGGAGCAATATAACATCCACTTTTTGGTACTCTATTCCTTGGGAGATCATATTGCTTCCTACTTGAGTAAGTCTATCAAAACCTGCCCTTGCTCTGGAAAGCATCATTTTGTTAACACTCATTTTCAATGTTTCTGAATTTGCCAGTAAAATATATTTCAATGGCCTTGTTCACAGACAAGAAGATATGAACACAGACAAGAAGATAATTAGCTGTGGCTGGAAAAAAAAAAAAGAGTAGAAACAGAAGTTGAAAGTTGCCCTGAAAATACTATGATCTAAAACTCAAAAGGTTGATTATTTGCCATAATTTCTTCTCTAAATTATAACCAACTGGTTCTTTTACAGATGCTACTTCCCCATTTTAAGTGAATCTCTCTGAGGAGTAGTGATAAGTCAGTGCAAGTGTATGGAGGAGGGGGTGAAAGAAGCACAGTCAAGAGGATGTGGTGAGAGGAAATGATGAAAGAGCATATTAACATAGCAGGAAACAGCAAAACATGTGGCAAACACACTGAGGACTGCATGCATTTTATGTGTCAGATTACCTCCAAAGAGGTATTTTTGGAATTTAAAGCATAGTAAGAGAGTATATTGCAAAGCTCTCAGGACCTAATTATGTGGGACAAATTAGTCTGCAAGACCTTCATAATCTGTCTAAAGATGTGGGTGTAGAAGTGAGTTAACAAGCAGGTTATTTTGATGAGTGTCTGAAACTCCAGTTGTGCCACATGTAAAAGAGTTTATGTGCAATAAACAAAAAACTGCAGGAGGTTTTAAGGCACACCTGAAACAGCAGAGTGACATAAGAGAGATAAGACAAAAGGAAAGAGTTCACTGTGGCTTCTTTGGGCAAAATGGGCTCAAATGTCTTTGAAGACTGGTAGCAAACATTACAGAGCTATAGTTTAAGAAGAATCCTCAGATTCTATATTGTCATAATGAAACACATTTTCCATGGCTTAGATGACTCATCTAGTACCTCTAAATACCTCAAGGTATTTAAAGACCACGACAGAACTAAGATATGAGAGAAGCTAAAACAGACACCACACCTGCAATTTTAGCCTTGAGTTGGGAACCAAGTGGAAGCAAAAGTTTGTCTTTAGTCAAAAATTTCAGATAAATGGGAATAATGGTGAAACAGACTTAGCAGGGACCCTTACACCACAGACAACATGGTTGAGGGGATATGATAGAAGCTGTAAAAAAATTAATTAAGTTTATTAGTGCTTATATAGATTAAATATTAGGAAATCTGATTCTTACCTTAAGCTAAAAAGTGTTAATAAAAAACTTTGAATCATAAGACCTAGATAAGTGATCAAGCCAATCGTTTGTGTGGAAAATTTAGTGTTTGAAGTAATCTTTATCTTGAAAGATACTGAAAGAGAGTTGAAAACTTCTGTTCTCATTGTGTCTGTCTTTTCATCTACCACCTATTTTTACTGTTTCCTTTAGTTTATGCACTTAGAGATGTGACTGAAATGTGATCCTTCAGTTACTCCAAGAAATTTTTGTCTGCTGGGTCAAGATGTTTAGCCAGCTTGATCTAAAGCATAGTTTTAAATTCAGCCTGACACATTTTTACATCTCTAGAAAAGCTCAGATGATACAGATTTTGAAGAAAAAGTTTCAAAACTACAGGGATTAATCCCCAGCATCAGTCCCTTTCTGGCTGGAAGCACAGTAATGAATACAGTCTTTTTTCTAATAAAGAAAAATTCCTCCTCAATAACAAATTATAGGTTTGTGTGAAGCAGCAGTGCCCAAAGAAGAGGATATATCATGAGAGGTGGACTGTAGTAATCTTCTTTGCCTATAATTTTTCTTTGTTTTAAATACACAGTTATTCATAATTGCCTTAGAAGCAGTTTGTACAGTGTGTAACAATGTTTCAGTAGCTCAGGAAAACGAGAACAAAATGTTCTCTGCTCAAACAAACAAAGTGTTAATCTTTGTTCTATCTATTGATCCTCCTCAGCAAGTGCCCTTT